GACATGCCAATCGATTGCAGCGCGTGTTCCGCCTGTTCCACAAAACCGACGTTGCTAGTAGTCGTTTTTAGTCTTGAAGCTGCAATTTTTTGGAGCAAAGTTATAACAGAATGAAATATCCATCCATAACAATTTAGCAACCTTATTAGATGAGATATATCAGAGGTGGATCGCTCTCCTAGATGTTGGCGACACAAAATTTTGTTTACTGTAATCTCTATCTGTGTTACTGTTAATATGTCATTGGTAGTAAATCCCTTCATGAACTACGGCTGATCTTAATATTTTGGTGAAAGTTGAGCTCATTCTTAAGTCGGGTGATCAGGATTTAATATCAGCTTTCTTGCGAAATAAGATCACGTTGATTTTTTTTTTATGTAGGACACTGTTGTTAAAGTGGAGCAAGATATCAACACTTTCTAGAAATTGAACTAATACCAGCGCTCGCTGTAGGTACTCTCCATAAGGACTATTTGCTCTGTGTGCTTCTCGCTTGCTTTTTTGATCATACGTACTCCTAGAACCCCCTGAATCACCCTCCAGTTTTCTTCTTTCTACATCATTTTCAATTATCTTTTTTGGCCTTCGAGATCCATGTTCAATTATGTACTTTTTTTTCATTGATTTAGCCATCTGGAGTATCCTATTAGCGTATGTTCTGTGTCGTCAATCTTGGTACTGGGTGTTTGTTAATAACTGGAACACTCAGTAACTTTCTTATTATTGAAAATAAAGGGCATGTTTAGGTTGGAAAATTTCTTGGTAAATTGCAACCAACCTTAAGCGCTACAACGATATTTTTTTTGTCGTCATAGGTATACAGGGTGTGCCAAAAAGGTATTTAAAATGGAACGGCCAATCCAAATAGTGTTTGATATTTTTGTGAAGCTTATTTTCTAAGAATTTCAAAAATGCAAAAATCTACAGACCGTTGCATTTTTAAAAAATGACTTTTTTGACGCACCCTGTATACCTATGGCGACAAAATAATATCGTTCTAGCGATTGAGATCCTTGTGATTTTCCAAGAAATTTTCCAATTTAAACATGCCCTTCATTTTCAATATTAAAACAGTTACTGAGTGTTCCAGTTATGAACAAACACCCTGTACAGTATAGACTAGACAGATGGCATTTGTCTTTCCTATACGGTTTTTGTATTTCCTGAAACATCAGCGTCCTGTAAGTATCTGGGTTAGAAAGTAGTTCAGTGTTTACAGTTTAGCCACTTGGTTATGTTGGGAATCAGCTTTCTGGTCCACTCTCCTTCCGCTGCGTGTGTTCCACCTGTTCTGCAATCGTCGAAGGTTCTTTCCCTTGCCCTTTTTTTACGCCAGCCTCTCTATCCTATATTGTTAAGTACCTCCTTTCCGCCACTAGGAAATCCATTGCGAGTATAGTTACCTGTTATTACTTGGATTGCCTCACTGGAAATTGTCCTGTAGCCACAGGCAACTCTAAGTAGTAGTATGGCCGATTGCATGGCACCATAGAGGACAATTATTTTCATGCTGCTTGGTCCGTTGATATTTTGCCGAAAATATTATCCTGTCTGTCTTTGCGGGCTCTACGACTACAGAGTATGACTGCCTCCTTTTTTTCGGGTGCCAGGGCCAATGAGTACTTTGTCATTATCATTTGTCATGAGGTGGTCTTTGTTTGCGGTAATTACGATAATGGCCACATCGTCAGCATGACATACTGTATATACCCGTTTCCCTAGTCCCAGTCTTAGTATCTCGTAGTTAGTATATTCCAGAGAAGTGGTCCCAGGACGGACCCAAGGGGTATACCATGACATACAACATAAGTATAACAGGTACATAAATAGGAAACACAGTAAATGAGGTAATGAGATAAACAACATTCGTCCTCTCTCAGTTTCTGACATAATCTTGAAGATATTACCGTGGCCTATGATTTCTCTTCACCATAATCCGACCGGATTCATCAGTAGGTTTCACTGTAGATAAATCTGGAGGATTTTCATTGTGAGATTGTTCAGAATTTTGGGGAAGGGAACGATTAGAATCATTTTTAGGGAACGAAGATGATAAACGAACTGACTGTTGTAAGGTTTTCTTTGGGAATAGTTAGCTCATTGAAATCTTGTTCTAGAAGTTTTATGACATTTTGATCTTGTTCGTAGTGTTACATCATTTTGATCTTGATCTGTCAGAGCTGGCAGTGTCACATCTCCCCATGGTGCTAAATCACGAGTTGATACAGTAATTTCTCTTCCATTTGATAGGCGTACATGAGCATAATCTGAATTTGCTTCCAGAAGATCAACTTCTTCTACTAGTGGATTATATTTACTATGTCTAACATGTTTCTTGAGAAACACTGGTCCTGGGGTGCTTAACCATGTAGGCATTGAGGTTCCATTAGTCGATCTTCTAGGACGCAATATTTTCTCATTCTTGATTTTTGATAAACTCTAATTGTCAGATATAAATGCAACGGAGTACAGTGAATATACTAAAATGTCGGCCCATTAATAATGCTTCCATTTTCTTATAGCTTCTATTATTGCGTAGGTACCTATGGCTCAAAAACAACTATAGCTGAGTAGATTCCCGTATGGGACCTCAGTATCCGCTGGGAAACTGGCTAACTAACAAAAAAACTCTTCAGTATTGAATATAGGTAGTGTTGATTGAATGTTGAGTGTGTAATTAAAATTTTAGCACAAAGAACAAAGACGGTACCTAATTTAAACTTTTATTGACTTAAATTATTGAATTAATGACTCACAATTATTATTAAAATGACATAGTATGTTTCGATTTTTGAGGAATGTTAGATTGAGGGTTTCTCTGCCGTTCTCTTTCCCCTCGAGAATTCCAGGTCGAGAACGGTACGATTTACTTTAATAATAAAGTAGACGTTTCACAAATTTTTCGTTTCTTTTACATATCACAACTTCCCTTAAATTTCCCAAATATTTGCTGTCGGGCGCATGTCCAATAAGTAAAATTGAGTAAGTTTTCACAACGTAGGTCCTATTTTTTTCTTCATTTCGTTTTTCAGAAAATTTGTTGTTTAAAGGTAATACAAATTCTCATCGTTCAATCTTACCGAACGAACCCGGGTATGTTATACTACAGTGTGGTGATAGTTCTTGAGATATAACTGTCCGAGCTTCCAGTATCAATTAGTGTATCAGTTGGAATGTGATTGACTTCAATTTTAATAATAGCTTTCGATAAGCGAGATGTTCAGGCAGCTGACATCATTCCAATCATAGCAGCTGAAGTTTTATTTGAATCATGAGATTGTTTTTAATGTTTTGATCTACATACTTGTGTGAAATGACCAATCTTTTCACAGGAATGACAGATTGCATCTCTTGCTGGACATTTATCTCTATAGAGTGTCTATTTCTCTCACAAAAAAAAAAAAACATTCTGAAGTAATTACGGCAAGTGTTGTATCCTTTCGTTCATTTGATTGTTCAACATAAGTCGATGATTGATTCGATACAATCGAATTTACGTATGAATTTGAGGAATAATTTTCTGACTGTTGTTGAGCCATTTCTAAAGATCTAGCTGATTTATGTGCTTCTTCTTGGTTAAGAGTCGTATTTTCTAAAAGTCTTTGCCTAATGTGAGATGTGTCGAGACCACGAATACATGAATCTCATATGTATAGTAATTTTTATTCTGTTCAGCAGCGACTGCTTCAAAATTACTGTCTTTACTCAATTGTATTAAAATTTGTAAGTACTGGTCTATAGATTCACTTACTTGCTGTTTTCTAGTGGATAAAGTATGACGGGCAAAAATTCTCTTTGTTTTTACATATAACTTTTCGAGTATGGCAACTGCTTCTATGTAGGGAATACATTCACTAATAGACTGATAAACTGATAGAACTCGCATTGTCTTTGTCTTCTGAAATTTTTGCAGTTTAGAAAGTTCCCAAACGTTCGTTTCCAGTAGATCCATAACTGGTTGCTTGAATGTGTGTCATTTTCTAATCGATCTGGCTTGAGTAAATTGTCCATTGATTAATTTAGCTTATTAAATTGTGGTAAAAAAGACCTTCAGAATTAAGTCTAAATAAGCTAAAATTCAGTACAAATTATTCTGACAATAACTGACAACATTACATACAACATAACAGGTATATAAATAGGAAACACAGTAAATGAGGTAATGAGCTATACAAGAGTGGTGTCTTGGGGTGGATAAGCTTTCTCAAAATACCCTTCCATGTTGCAGAATTCGAAGCGTGTTGACGTATATGGCTATTAAGGCGCACCATCTTTTGAATTCTGTGTTTTTGCTTTGTTCCGTATGCGATATGGAGGGCTCTATTTATGGCATGGATTGTAGATTTACCCTTTCGGAAGTTGAATTGTTTGTATGATATGCCCTGCCTCTCGCATACTTTTTTTTCTAGTCTCTTTTCGATAAAGTATTCGTAGTATTTGGCTATTATATTAATTAGACAAAGGTCTGTATCCGTTTAGTCTGTCATGGTTTACCACTCTTATGGATCAATTTTGCCATATTCCAGGGAATTCCTGCCAGGAACAGTTCGTTCATTGTTCATTAGGTTCCTAATAGTCTGAGCTGCAGCATCGGCAAGCTCAATGAAAGCCTCTGCCGGTATGCCGTTTGAGCCTGGTGCCTTTCCAGCTTTGATCTTTCTCTTTGCTTCTTCTATTTCCTTTAGTGTGAACAGCGCTGTCATTTTCCTCAATTGGAGTGGGTAAAACATCGTGTTATTCTATTATTTGCTTCGTCATGTTGTCAGTAGGTTTAATAGATGGTTCCGTGTCCTTGAAGGATCTTCTTATGATTTCATATCCTCCCCCCATATTTTTTACTTTCCTATCAGTTGTCTCAATTCAAAAGTATTCTGTTTCCACGAACTTGCGCCAAAAGTAATTACCTTCATTGAAATAAATGTTTGTACTATTTTGAGTTATTTTCATTTAAAGTGTAGTCGTAGGGTCTTTAAATAGGTACAAAACTTAATAATTTTTAGTTACATCAACAGTTGAAGAGCCCATTGAAGGTTGGACAGATAATCTTAACGGACCCAATGGTCTCATTTTCAGTATAAACGTGGGATTGTTAAGAATCATCCACTGCGATTCATCAGTTAAATTGGATTTTGTGCCAGCCGATATGGTCGTTAATGCTATTTTGTGTATGGCCTGGGAAGTGAACCAACGATGGTCGGTATACTAGATTTGTTTTTGTTAATGTTATGGAAGATTATATTTTTAAGGATTGACACGGATGTTCATGAACCGCTCATAATGAACTTTTCAGGAGCAAAAAGTGAAATATACGTTAGTTTAAGCAAACTAAGAAAAAGCACTACAATCAAGAATGGCATTGGATATCCGATGTGTTTTCTTGTATACAACAAAATAATTTTCTATATTTTAAATATTTTATTGCATATAATACCAAATTATATTATAGATAAGATAGCTGTTTTACTAAATAAAACACCCAGGTAAGATATGTTTTTGAAATTGCCGATATTCTAACTATGAATTATTGTAGAGTTGTAAAACTACATCTGAAGATTACCAGAGCATGTAATGCCTTGTTTTATTTTATGTGCAACGAATTCGAGATTAAAAGTAGCAATGTCATGATATTGTGGAATAAACTAAACAAATCAGATCAGGAATTATTTAACTTTGACGTTGAAAGAATAAATGGGAAAGATTACTTTAAATCGCTGTCTAAGGGTCTGAAGGCTTATTTCGGCAAAGAAAATTCGAGTGACATTAAGCAACAAAGAGAAAAGTTACACACGTAAGTTTTAAAGCAATATTTTTATTAAAGTTTACAAATTTTTTTTTTAGGGTGAAGTCGACTTATTATGGTATTATCGGATCAATTTTAATATTAAGCTTATACGTATTGATTATTTTATTTTGATAGGATATTAAATATTTTACAAACGAAGGGCAATTTTCATGTACCAACTGTATTTTCTATATAAGCGTCAACTCATATATCTCCAGTCCATAAATTCAAAGGCTCATATCCCTTATAGTTAGACGCGACATGCCGTCCCTGCACTCCAATATTACGATATCAGAATAATCTAGGCTGTCATAGAATTTGAGTTATGGGGAACGTATCCCATTAGGAGTGCATTGCATTTCGTGACGACATGACATAGTGCGGGGATTGTTCTCCAAATCGAAGGAAGGAGCACCCTCTAACTCTATATGGAATTATTATTGCTGAATTGTTACCATTCCCCCAATTTATATTTGGAGCAGATGTTATGCGGCTTATTGCATAGGAAATTTGCGGGATGTAGGCTCTAATGGGAATGACTGTTTTTTTTTTTTATAATCGTCAGCGCAAGCAAGAGGCACTTTACATGTGTCACTGTCAATCCATTTTTGTTGATTCTTCGATGATTGAACCAGGTAACTTCAATACTTTTGAAAATAAACTATATAGGGATGTAGGTAAATAACTGATATATCGACAAATATTATTAGATATTATTTTATCATTTAATGAATGTATGAACCCCTTTTCACTTAATTGTATCAAAATTATATTTTATATACACATGGCCGGAAAGTTTAATATTCAATTATTGTTTATTTGGTTATACCTAGTAGTGCCTTTTAATTTCAATTAACGATTTAGTAATTTAATATACGAAGGTATATAATTTTATTTCCTTTGTAGGTATTTGTTTGTCAATTTTAAATTTTCCCTCGATAAATAAATAATTAATTAAATAATGATTATATTTATTTACTTTATAGTATATTCTCCATTCAGGTATAGATTAAGTAGGTACCTAAATGCTGAAACCTTTGAATTTTTGATCAACCACAGTACGAAAATCAGTTTTATTGAGGGAGCAAGGTAATAAAATCCCAAATTCAGCACTTTGCACGTGCCGGCAGTGGCCATTTCACACATATGTTTTCGATTCCGATTAATTTATTTCCAATGAAATAATTTATTTTCAAGAAAGCTTTTATCCAATTTTCTCCCTAAAACAAATTAAATTCGAACCAAGACAATTACTGCAATCCACTTCCTAGGAAACTCTTTTCTGCCAATATCACTGTCAAACGCAGTTTCGAACCTCTGGGGGGCGAAATATCGAAATTCGAAGAAGAATAAAAGATAAATGAAGCCTTTGTGTGTCCTCCCCGATACTTCCTAGGAAGTCGACTCGGCTAGAAATTATATAGAAAGTTATGATATCTCGAGCGGCAGAGGAAGCAACGTCAGTTGTTGGCGTGGAATAGGATATTATGCATATAAACTGAACTGGGTAATATTATAGCTGTTAAGTGTGAAATAGAATACGACGTGTATGGCATGTATGAAAGGAAATATAGGATTTCTTGCACCAGGTATATACATATTGTGTTATATTTGTAGTTTTGTTTTCGGCTTTGTAGTATGCATCATATCATTCGTGACAGTTTAAGGTCTATGGAGGAGAAATAATAATGGCAACTGAATTAATATTAAAATAAGAATAAAGGAGCATAATGCTTATCGAGGCGGAAAATGTTCACTTGCTAACAGTAACAACTCACTTATCATAGACTTTTTCCCGACTCCGTTTTATAGCATGCCGACACCTCGAGAATTGTCCAAATTGTTAAGAACTTCCTCAACTTGGGAGATTTATAAAACTTAAATTTGTTCTTTCCGAACTGCTTCTACTGATCGCATCCAAGCCGGCCTATTCTCGAATTTACATGGGGTCAGCGTTTCAACGTCTACCATCGCGGTAGCTGCTACTCGCTACCAGATGACAGCGCAGTTATTGAAGGTTTTCAATAGCTGCCATGTGATGAGTTCCATTCTCATTTCTGTCGCTGCTCAGACATAGGTAGTCTGTTCCTGGCGAAGTCAAGAACTACTCTGAGCCTGTCTTGCAGATGATCACCTACGTTAAGTGGAAGTACAGCTTCGTCTTTATTGGCAAGTGGACAGTGGTCTACCAGACCTTTGATCAACTGGAAGCTTCATTAGTCTTCCAGTCCAGTCAACAGGCATCGATGCTATATAGTCATTTTTTTCGTGCTAACAGCCAGAAGGAACTAGGTAGGTATTGATTGATGGTCCGTTTATGCCTTTCGACCACGTCCTCGGACTATGGATAAAGTGGAGTCGTTTCTTTTCCCAGTAAGCGCATCATATTTCCATATTGCGGACTCAAAACTCCTCTCCTAAACGGTATAGAATTCCATCGGTACTCCTTATCTGGGCAATGGTTTTTCAGTAACGCTTCAACAACTACCCTGATAACACAGGATTTTCCTGGGATATCCCACCAATGTTCTATGAAAGTATGAATGTCCAGTACTTAGATAATACATTCCCAGAATGTTTCGGATAGAATATTATTGGAATATCTAGATGCAATATTCATATATTTATATTCGACCGTTGTACTATATTTATAATTCTCGGCTAGCAGTATGCAAAAAAAAAACTTAAAAAAAAAATCCCATTGCCAGATTACCAACGACCCAACTGCCCTTCGTCTATCAACCAGTGTTGATCAATGAGATACCTTACCCATTTTCGACGTTACAGATTTCTTCGGATTATTTTATTCCATATAAATATGGTGAAATATACCTAGTAATTCTATATATTTTCGAATTTTATATGTAATGTTTGTATGTAATACAATTATTAGGTTGTATATTTTTTTATATTGGCGATATTTAATTCGCTACACGAAAATAATATACGTAACAACTGGCAACGTCGAACAAAAGCCGTCACGTCACGGGCCACGGCACCTCACTTCACATTCATCACAGACAACCTAACCTAACTCTGAAAAAACAGTAAACAGTAAGCAAAGGACCCCGCACATTTCTTATGGAAAAGTGATCTATGTGGAATTTTGCTGAATTTTTGATATTGTGTATAGGGAGTCGTCCTTAACAAAAGTGATCATTGCGCTAATGTACAATACCCAACAGTTTTTGAGATATCAATTAAAAACTTTTTTAATTTGATACGCTTCAGTATGACGTCACCAGTATGCTCACAGCACTGAAAATTAAAACTATCCTTTTCACTTTTGACTTTGACTACCTATACTTATACTCTTCTCCTTTTAACATTTAGGAAATAAAAAAAACAACAACAGGTACAAATGAAATCGCTATATGGCAGATATCATGACATGAAGTTGACGATTGCGGCAGGAGCTAGGTGTTGTTTGCATACCTACCTATTTGTCACTAATCGCTATCGCTATCTTTTTTTTTTCTTAAGGAGAAGATCAAAGTCAAAGTCAAAAGTGGAAAGGATAGTAATAATTTTCGTTGCTGTGAGTGACGTCATACTGAAGAGTATTTTTAAAAAAGGTTTTAGTTGATATCTTGAATGCTGTGTCTAGAATCCCGGTACCGTTAACACATTTTTTACCGGTAGTTTTGATGACGTCATCGATATGACGCACTTGTACCGGGATTTAAGTGAATCCCGGTGTTTTGATTTTGTTTTTATCGTTATTTATCAGCTAATAGGGCAATCCAAACAAAATGGTGGTCAATGCATGGCCAATGCCAAAAAATTGGCGCCATAAATTTAATTCAAGCAATCGTGACATTTTTCATCAAAAAACTGTTTTTTGTGTATTTTGTGGTGCTTTTAGATGATTTTCTAGTGTTTGAGAGGATAATTTTCGTATTATAAGATGGAAAGTTTTTGGTTTAAGAAATTATTAGTAGAAAAAAGGCATTGGCCTCCATTTTGAATTCCATTTTGACAAGTCGTTGGATTGCCCTATTGGTATTTTAGGTTAGTTTATTAATGTTTTCATCACTTTTTTGGAACATTTCAAACCATAAAAGTTAGTTAGGTTCGAAATACCTAATATAAATGATTTGCATTTGCGTTCGGAAATGTCGAACAACTCATCTCAGATTAGAAGTAATCGGCAATCAGATGATAGTAACTTAAGGTTGGTATTTCGGAAAACCCCTGAGAATTTAAATAAATTTAAAATGAAACACTTTATATAGCAGTTCATAATCGAATTTAGTATTTATTAATTTACTTCATGCCAATATATGTAACTATACTGTTTAGGATGTAGATTAAAATAAATATTTCTCATTTTTTATTCATTTTTTTATAAGTTTGCAATCAGAACAATACCACATCTGGGGATTTTACACAAACTGGCATATTTCACATGTCAAAGTCTCTTCAACTTCTTTATAACTTTTAAATGTTTGTCCTCCTACATTAAAAATCATTTAAAAAGTAATTTCACGTTGATAAACTCATCAAAACACTCCACTTTACGTTCACACATCAACAAAACAAGTTAAAAACATAAAAAGCTAGGTTAAGTTGGACTTTGATAAAACGGAAACCGCCAACGACTACATTTTTTACCGGGATTTGCTTAAATCCCGGGTACCTAGTGCGTCATATGGGTAACGGCATCAAAACTACCGGTAAAAAATGTGTTACCGGTACCGGGGTTCTAGACACAGAGTATCTTGAAAACTGTTGGGTATTGAACATTAGCGCAATGATCACTTTTGTTAAGGACGACTCCCTATACACAATATCAAAAATTCAGCACCACATAGATCACTTTTCCATAAGAAATGTGCGGGGTCCTTTGTTTGTTATTAATTTAATTTCGTTTAATCACAAAATAATCGTTATTGGTGGTCGGTTTTGAACGACGTGTTTTTATATGGTTTTTAGTAGATTTTTCCACGAATTTCCCACATAATTTTTCACTTGTTTTTTTAATTTTCGATGTTTCGTTACTTTTTGCATTTTTGTGTTAGGTAAGTACTATTGTGTAGCCTGTTCAGTAATTTATTTAGGAAGTTTTTTAAAGAAACTAATTAGATTTTTGAGTTACAGTGCTGAATATGATGGATCCTACAGGAAAAAAAGGTTGTTAAGCAACTAATTATTGTCAAAGGAACAAACGATCAAATCATTCGGAACCTGATCTACTAGATGAGCATCAGCACCCGAGGCAGCATCCATTCTCTAGTTCTACGCTCGTTTCTATGACTGAGAGGGCATTTTACTTGGCTACTTGAGATTCTATGAAGATTTTAATCAGATAGGTAGCTTCTACCGTTCTACCTGAATAATTAGTATTATCAGCACGCACTAGACTAGAAAATGGAACTTTCGAGGAAACTGTTGATGCAAGTATTGGATGTCAATTCACAATTTATAATTCGAGTAATACCTAATCAATAAACCAAAACAAAAATATTCCCTACTTGTTTATTTGTGGGATGTTCTGTGCATGTTCCTCCTATATCCCACAAAAATCCCGAATATACTATGTGGAATGATTGAAGATATTCCATTTTGATGACAAAAGCGTCTCCTGGAATGTTCCAGGAATATTCCAGGATCTAAACAGAATCTTCCAGGAATATTCTGATTGTCCCAACTAAATATTCCTTGAACATTCCTGGAATGTCTTTGTGTTATTAGGGTATAACGATTCTTGATTGGAAATTGGAACTACTCCTGGCCACTTTGAGAAATAGTCCATAGCAACCATGAGGTAAGAAACGGTTTTACTATACTACAATATCTACTGTAATAATTTTCTGCCGAGATAACTACGGCTTCATTTTTCATCGAGATCGTGTACTTTCTTCAAAGCACAAATGTCGCATCTATTGTACTATTCTTCAAGATGCTTATCTAATACCAATCACTTAGACCAATTTACTTTTGTTATCTTCTTATGAATACCATTTTGGCTATTTACCCTCGAGCGAGGAGCAGTTCACAACACTCCTACTATACCGTTTCCAAATCCAAGTGGCAGTAATGACATTA